CCGTGCCGCGGGGCCGGAGGGGTCGGCGCGATTGGTGACGCGGGGCTTCGGCGGGGCCGCTCCCCGAGCCGTACCCCCCCCGCAGTGGGGATGGTGCGTTCCCCGGCGGCAGCGGCGGAGGCTGCAGTGCCCGGCCCTGTCCACGGGAGGGCGCGATTCCCGCTCTCCAGTGCGGGATCTGCCGCTGGATGCGGGATCCCGCGGGATGGGGTGCGGGGATACCCCGGATCAGTCCCCCCGCTGGGTGCGGGGATACCGCAGGATGGGGTGCGGGGATACCCCGGATCAGTCCCCTCGCTGGGTGCGGGGATCCCGCGGGATGGGGTGCGGGGATACTCCGGATCAGCCCCCCCCGCTGGGTGCGGGGATCCGACGGGGATCCTGCGGGATAGGGTGCGAGGATACCTCGGATCAGCCCCTCCGCTGGGTGCGGGGATCCCGCGGGGAGCAGAATCCCCAGGATCCTCTACACTGGGTGCTGGGATCCCCATGATCCCCCTCGCTGGATGCGGGGATTCCATGGGTGCTGGGATCCCCAGGATCTCCCTCGCGTGATGCAGAGACCCCGGGGGTCACAGCCCTGTGCCCCCCCAGCCGCCTGTGCTGGGCCGGGCTGAGACCGGCCACAACTCACTGCACCGATGTGCGGGCTGGTTCTTCCCTCCGCAGCGCAGCGGTGAAAACAATGGAATTTTTCCCCTCCTCTCCCGTTCCACAGTCTGAGGCAGCGGCTCCTCCTCGCTGTGATCAGTTATTACAGGGAAAAATACACTCGCGGCTGGGAAAACTAGAGGGCAGCCCTGGGCTGCACTTCTCAGAAACCAAATCCCTGTTTCCAGGACCGGGCTGTCCTTGTTTGGTTTATTTAAGCACAAACATCTCCGAACTTGCCAGAAAAATGTTATTGCCTCCTTACAGGATGGTGTATCCGGCGGATTCAGGCGCATTAACACAGTTCAAACACTCTCACACCATAAAGGCTGTTGGAGCAACAGCTGGGGAGGGGGATTTCAGTAAGAGGAAACTCCAGGGGCCATGGAGCTGCATCCCAAGAATCCAAACTGTGGCAGCGGGCGGCTGGGGTGCCAGAGGGAGGGGCCGGTGCCGTGTGGAGGGGACCCTATTTAGGATCTGTTCTTCACGCACCCCAAAACGCTCACAGTTGTCCCCAGGTGGCCATCTGGAGGAGGACAAGGACGGGGACAAAATAGGGCCAAGGAAAGAGAAGGAGCAAAGAAGGGGGTACAGAAAGAAGGGGAAAGAATGGGGTAAAGAAAGAGGGAGGAGGAAAAAGTGAGCAAAAAAGGGGGTAAAGAAGGGGCCAAGGGAAGAAGAGGACAACTAAGAATGCAGAAAAAAAAAAGACAGGGAAAAGAATGGGATAAAGGTTGGACAGAAGGAAAGGGGTCAAAAAAGGGGACCAGGAAAGGGACAGGAAAGGAAGAGGACAAAGAAAGAGAAGGGAAAGAACAGGGTAAAGTGAAAAGGGGGCAAAGAACAGGTAAAGATGTAGACAAGGAAAGAGGGGGGCAAATGAAGGGGCAAAGAAAGGAGAGGGGAAAGGGGCAAAGAAAGGCATAAAGAGGGGAACAAGGAAAGAGGTATAGAAAAAGGGATAAAGGAGGGGACGAGGAAAACGGGTCCGGGGTTTTTCCCGCCCTTACCGGGACGTCCGGAGGGGCGGCCTTTTCCCGCCCCATCCTCAATCTTGAGGAAACGAAACAGCCGTCGACGAGACCGCCTCCCCCCAGTGCCACCTCCTCCTCGACGACGCCGTTTTCCCTGTGGCGCCGCCGGTGTGCATGAGCCTCAGGATGGAGCAGACGCTGCCGCCCTACGAGGTGCTGCCGACGGGGATGAACATGAACGAGATGCCCAAGACGAGCACGACGGTGACGGTGGAGGAGGAGCAGCCGCCTCCCCCCCGAGACCACCTGGTCTGGTCCCTCTTCACCACCCTGTACGGCAACATCTGCTGCCTCGGGTTCCTGGCATTCTTCTTCTCCGTCAAGGTGAGGGACTCGGCGGGGGGGGGAAGGCTGGGGGTTGGGGGAAGCCGCGGGGACCCCACAGAGCCCCCATAGAGCCCACAGAATGCCTGACCCCAGGGAGAGCCACGGACCTCACAAAGCTTTAGTTCGGGGGGTGTCCAGTGGACCCCACAAGCCCCAGACCAGAGAGTGCCCCGTGGACCCCACAGAGCCCCCTCTCCATGGACTCCTGGCCCCACAGAGCCCTCGTGGACCCCACAGAGCCCCCTCTCCATGGAGCCCTGGCCCCACAGTGTCCTGGAGTACCCCTGGTGTTTTGGGGGAATTTAGCCCAGAGTGGCAACCTCCAGCACCTCTCACACCTGCCTGCAGCCTTGAGCCCCCCGGGGCCACCCCCCTCCGACCCCACTGACTCTCCCCTCTGCCTCCCCACAGTCCAGGGACCGCAAAGTGCTGGGTGACCACAGCGGGGCCCTGAGCTACGGCTCCACGGCCAAGTGCCTGAACATCACGGCCCTGGTGATCAACATCATCGCCGTCATCATCGTAATCATCGTCGTCGCCGTGGTGTTCAGCACCGCAGCGAACCGCTTCAACTACAACAACTACAGCAACAACTACGGCTAACGCTACCCCAACCCCACTTAGCACCTCCTTGCTCCACAGGCAATTAGTTCCCGCAGTGCCTGCCAGGAGCTCCACTCACCCCCTCAGCGCCAGGGGGTGCCCCTGGGGCCCGCCGGGGTCCTGTCCCACTCTCCTCATTGCCCAAAGCTGTTGTTGAGCCCTTGCTGATGCTGGAAGTGCCTGGGGGCGGACACCCCTCCTCAGGTGGGAGCTGAGCACCCCCAAAACGGCTGTGACCTGCTTGCTGCTTTGCTCTGGGTTTGGAGCCCCAGCTGACCCGAAACAATCCCCGGGAGGAGCACTTTGTTTGGAGAAAACCTGGTTCAAATAAAGATTTCTTTCACTTTAGCCCCGGCTCGGTTTTATTTCGGCAGGAAGAGGTTTAGGGTCCCCCCCCCCACCGCAGTGTGGCTAGTTAAGAAACAACATCGGCAGCTGGAGGTGCCTGGGGGGGGCGGGGAGGGAAATTGTCTCTCATCGCAGAAACAATGCTCGGGGACACACCCGGCTCCATGAACGCGGATACTGCACCCATAGGGTCACCCCGAGGATGGGAGGAGAACCTCACCTGTGCCAGGGTGTCACCCAGAGCACCCCTGCCCTCACCGGCCCTCAGGGAGGGCTGGGAACAAGCAGAGCTGAGGATTAGCTGGACTGGGGGAGGCAGGATGTGCAAAGGGCTTGAGTGGGATGAACTGGAACGTGACTGTGCAGGACAGCGGGGCTGGAGAGGCTCCCGGAGGGAAGGGGGTGGTGGGTGCTGTGGCTCCATCCCGACTGGCCTTGCTGCACATCTCCCGGGGCTGGATTCCTCGGTGATTTGGGACACTGGTAAGGTTCGCAGATAGGAGCCCGGCTGTCCCGGGAACAGCTGCCATGCAAAGCAGGGAACAAATGATGTGTCTTGCTGGCGTGCACGGCTTTTGGTTTCAATGTTTCACCTCAGCACACCAGTTTCCTCACAATTACTCTCTCCATCCTGCGGGGGGGGGGGGGGGGGGGGGGGGGGGGGGGGGGGGGCCGGGGGGGGGGCCCCCCCCGGGTTGGGGGGGGGGGGGGAGGGAGCTGTGCTTGGTGGAAGCCACACGGAGGGCCAGCCATCCCTGTCCCCTCGCCGGGAGAGCTGGCAGGGCAGCAGGCAGCGATCCTCGCGCCTCCGGCCGCCGCACGTGCCGCTCGCTGCCCGGCCCCGGCGGCGTCCGGAGTGACCCGCGCAGGGACCGCGGAAAATCCCGGCCCGAGTCCATCTGGCAGAGCTTCAGCTATGCAGCTGTCCTGCTTTCCCCCTTCCCCTCCGTGCTCCTCGCCCTCCCCTCGGCAGGCCCTGGTCCTCGGGGCTGGGGCCCCACAAGGATGGGAACAAAACCCTGTTTTTCCCTCTCCCCGAAGAACTTCGGGTTCCTGGCAGGACGCTGCATTCGTAAGATGTCAGAAATCCCACTCACAGACACAGCGGGTAATTGTTGCAGGATCCCTGGCACTGAGCGCCCAGTGAATCATTTTTTTGCTCCACTTCTTCCCGGAAAACACGGGCTCCTTGCTGCAAAGGGGAATATGCTGCCTGCCTAGCCCCACCCTTGGCCTGCCCAAATCCCAGCACATCCAATGGGGACTTGGGACACCAAAGGCCGTTGCTCTGAGATCCCCTCTTCCTCCTGCTCCCTGTTTCTATCAACAGCTTCCAGCACAAATCCAAAGTGCAGCCCCATACAAACCAACATGGAAAAAATTGACCCTTTCCCAGTGCAAACCAGCCACCAGCAAAACCTTCTTCCAGCCTGTGACCACACCGGGCTGCCATGGAGAGCTCCCTCCAGTCTGTCCACTCCAACCTCAAAGTCCTATGGACTCCACTCAGAGTCCCCAGAGTCCCCTCAAATCCCCTTGGGGTCCACAAAGTCCCCTCAAATCACCTTGGAATCCCCAAAGTCCCCTTGAGTCCCCTTGGAGTCCATAAGGTCCCCCAGAGTTCCCTTGGAGTCCCAAAAGTCTCTTTGAATCCCCCCAAAGTTCCCAAGCCCCCCTGGATTCCCCCAAGTGCCCTTAGAGTCCCCAGGCTCCCTTGGAGACCCCTCAAGTCCCCTCAGAGTCCCCAAAATCTCCTCAGAGTCGTTTCACAGCCCCCAAGACCCTTTAAGCCCCCCAAAGTCCCCAAATCCCATTGGAGCCCCACAGGGTTCCCTGGAGCCCCCAGGCTCCCCTCGGAACCTCTCGAGTCCCCTTAAGCTCCCCCGAAGCCCCAGAGCTGCCCTGCACCCCCAGCCCAGGAGGGGTCGGGGTCCCGGGTGGCCGTGTGTCATCCCCCCCCCGCGCGGGGCGGTGCGGGGCCAATCCCCCGCCCTGGGCGCGCTCCATTCCAGTTCCAGGAGCTCATTCCCGGCCATGGAGACCCGACAGGCGGACGTGTCCATCCCACTGCAGTCCTCCGGCTGGGGGTCGGCTCCCCCCGGTCCTCGGGCGGACCCGCCGCCCCGGGACTATGTGCTCTGGTCGCTGTTCAACGTGGTGCTGTGGGGCGCGGTGGCCGGGCTGGGCTGCCTCGGCTTCCCCCCGCTCGTCTACTCCATCAAGGTGAGGGGGGCGACCAGGGACCCCCACCCGACACCCTGGATCTAGCCCTGATCGGCCCCGGGACGCCTCATCCAGAGCGACCCCCAGCCAGCTCCTCCCAGGACCCCGCGACGGAGCCCGGCACAGGACCCCCGGCACATCCCGACCTCCTCCCCGGCTTGGGACGCCCTGACCCAATCCGGCTCGGGATGTCCGACATGTCCCGACGCTCTCCCCGACCCAGGACCCCCCCACCCAGCCAGGGACCCCCCGACATGTCCCGACCCCCTCCCCGACTCGGGAGCCCCCGACCCAGCCCGACTCAGACCTTTCCCTCCCCTCGGGACCCTCCAGTCCTTTCCACCCCGACCCAGCCCTCCCTGACACCACCCCGGTCCCCATATTCCATCTCCTACCCTGGACCCCAGATCCGCTCTCTCATCTCCAACCCCCCACTTTCTCCCCGCCCCGGGACCCCAGTGCTGTGTGCCCCCCCCCGAGCCTGCACCACCCAGTGCCGTGACTGCCGGGCGGGTGGAGGAACAGGCAGTGCCCGGCGGCTTCCCCCCCTGCCCCGGGTGACACAGCCCTGGGGTCCCAGCACAACCCCGCAGCCGCCCCCGGGGCCGGGTTGGGCCCCCAACCAGTTCCCCCCATTCTGAGCCCCCTCATTTACCCCCCAGGCCCGTGACTGCAAGTTGCTGGGGGACCTGGAGGGTGCCCGGCGTCACAGCTCCCGCGCCAGGGTGGCAAACATCATCTGCTCCGTGCTGGCAACCCTCGTGTTGGTGGGCTTCATCATCCTCGTCATCATCCTCACCGTCTTCCTGGAAATCGAACTCGAGAACCCCTGACCGCCGCCTGGCCCCCACCCGCGGGGGGCTTCTCCCCCTCCTCCCGCCCCGCAAATGTGCCCGCTCGGGGCGCGGGGGCGAGGGGATTGAGCCCCGTCTCCTCGCTGCTGCCCTCCGGGTGTCCCCGCACAGCCGCGGGAGGGGATGGGGCGGCCCGGCGGGGGGCGTGGGGAGGCAGCCCCCCCCCCCTTTCTCTGCTCTTGCGCTTCCTGGCACCTGTGACACACCTGTCAGTCCCTGCTGCCACCAATAAAGCTCGTCCTGCCAAATCCCCTCGTTGTCACCTCATTCACCACGGGACAGAGTAGAGGGTCCTCGCACGACTTCGTGGGACCCTCCTCCTTCTCTTCCTCCTCCTCTTTATTCTTCTCCTCCTCCTCTTCCTCCTCCTCCTTGCCCTGCCTCCATCCCGCCGCAGGGCAGAGTGCTTCCAGCCCAGATCCCAAGGAAATTCCTTTCCAAAATCTCAGGTGTGGCAAAAGAAGGAAATTAAAGACCCTCCGTGATTTTTGGCTGCCCACACCCCCCCCCATCACCCTGCAGCGCCCTCTCCCCCCGACTTCCAGGGACCCCATGGATGCAGCTCTTCCACCTTTCCCTATTAACCTGCCATTTCATCCATCCCGTAGCCCAAAGGTGCTGCCAAGGAGGGGTCTGCCCTGCCCAGCTCACCTGGAGGGTTGGGGCTGGAGGTCCCGGTGCCAGCCAGCGCCACGAGGGTCCTGGAACCGAGGATCAGTCTTGGGATGATCCTCAGACGGTGTTGGAGTCACCTCACAGCTCCATCGCCGTGCACTGCCCACGCTGGAGCCATCCATGCCCCTCATCCAGGCGGGAAAGCTGGCTATAAAAAGCTTTCCCAGGCTTGCCATCCCAGTGCTTCTCCCAGCTCCCAGCCCGGCCTTGTTGGACAACCGCATCCCGCAGAGCTGTAATTTCCCAGGTTTATATTTAGCGGAGCAGGGCTATATAAGAGGTGCCCAGCCGTGCTCCCCTCAGGCTGCTGGAGCCGCGGGTGCCCCTCTCCGTGGCCATGGACACGTCGTACCCGCGGGAGGACGAGCCGCACCGCAAGCGTGGACCGCCGCCCGCCGCCCCCCCGCCCCGCGACCACCTCGTCTGGGCCATCTTCAACACCCTCTACATGAATTTCTGCTGCCTGGGCTTCGTGGCGCTCGCCTTCGCCGTCAAGGTACAGGCACCCGGCAGGACAGGAGCGTTTGGGGTCTCCGGGAAACCCTCGCCACCTAGATGCCAAGGGAGGGATTGCCGAGGAGGCACGGAGCACCTGGGATAACTCCTGGGGGGGTGGGATAGGGGGGAGGGAGCCCAACACCCGCCAGAGGCAAGTGATGCTGGCAACTGGTGAATCCTCCCTGCTGTGTTCCTGCCACCTATCAGGGACGTTGTGGGACCTCCTGGATAACCACAGCCCCCCGCCCACACTCCAAGGACCACCTGCTTCATCCTAGAAAGTGCCGTGGGGGCTGTGATGTTCCCAGGCGCCCGCCCCAGCCCTTTGGCAGGAGCAGCTCCAGCTGGACCGGAGCAGGGTGGAAAGATGGGGGCAAGCAGGAGCTGGAGCCAGTGGGGCTCCGGAGGAAGCAGGAGGAAAAATCCCAGCTCCAGCTTGACCAGACCAGAACAGAAAGATGGGGGCAAGAAGGAGCTGGTGCCAGTGAGGCTTTGGAGGAAGCAGGAGGGAAAATCCCAGAGGCAAAGGAAGTGGAGCCAGAAGGGAACGGGAGCGTGTGGAACAGGGGCAGCCTGGGACAGATGGATGGATGGATGGATGGATGGATGGATGGCTAAACTGTGGGCTGCAAGGGGACTAAAGCCCTGGAGCGAGGCTGGGAGAGGCACAGGAGGGGGCTGCAGGAAAAGGGCTGAGGAAAAGGGGGCTGAGGAAAGGGGCTGCAGGAGATGGATGTGGGAAGGGGGTTGAGGGGAAGGGGGCTGAGAGAAGGGGCTGCAGGAGGGGTCTGTCCTCCCGTTGCAGGCGCGGGACCGGAAGGTGTCTGGGGACGTGGAAGCCGCTCGGCACTTCAGCTCCAAGGCCCGGTGCTACAACGCCCTGGCCACGGCGGGCAGCGTGGTGCTGCCACTGCTGATCGTCGCCCTCGTCGTCACCGGCGTCATCCACCTCTCCAAGCTCGCCCAGGACTCCGTCGGCTTCTTCACTTACCAGTTCAGCGGGAGGGACGACGAGGACCACTGATGGGGGCCGGGTGAAGGGCTTGTGGAACCCCCTTCGCGTCGCTGGTGGCTCCCCAAAATAGGGCCACCACCCCTCTCTGCCACCCCAGGCCACGGCCACCAGCTCTGACACCCACCGGGCACGGCGTGGCCCGGTTGTGGTGGGGGCAGCCCCAGGGGCTTCTCCCCCACCGCTGTGACCCCTCCCTGCCTGGCCTGACCCTGCTCCCCGCCACGCTTTGGGGGCAGAGCAGTTATTTTCATTTATCCTGGTTGTTTTTTTTTTATCTCCCGTTATCCCCCTGTGTGGAGCTCAGCCTCCCTCCAGCTTCCGTGATCACTATTTAAATCATTAAATGTTTCACACAGCGTGAGTTTCTGCCTGTGGAGGAGGGGGGGGTGAGGGGGGTGCCGAAGGAAAAACGTAAACAAGGATTTTTGGCTCCAGTGGGGCTCCCTGCAGCAAGGAGATGCCGCAATCCCCACGACCACCGGGACCCCCGTGACCGAGGAGGGGAGGGAGCAGAGAAGCCCCTTGGCCCCATGGGAACATGCTGAAGCTAATGGTGTGTCACCCTCCCAGGGGGAGCTGAGACCTGCAAACTCATTGCAGCAACACAGACATCCCCAGCAGGTCCCCGTTCAGGACGGGGAGATGTGTGTGGGGTGCAGCCCCACTGCTCCCTGCTGTCCCTCCCTGGGCTGGAGATGGTTCATTTTGGCTAAATGGGGCTAAAGGATCCCTTTTTTGCTGCTAAACCCTCTTTACCCCCATGACCAGATCTGGCTCAGTGTGGGGTTTTATCCCAGCCCCATCCAAATCCCAGTCCGGGTGCAGCCCTCCGGGCTGGTACCGGAGCGAGGGGACGGTGCATCCCTTTGTCCTGCCAAGAGCTGCAGCTAATTAGGGGCTGGTGGCTCTGATGAGGCCGGAGCAAGAGGCCGGGTAATTACACGGCCGGAGAGTCCCTGCTCCTCCCCTAAGCATTCCCAGATGCCGCGGGGCAGGGAGCGGCCGCGGGGCTTTATATAAACCCGGCCAAGATTCCTGGGGTTGGTTTGGCGAGGACAGACCCCACGGGGCAGGGAACGCCTTCGGCATTCCCTCCTTCCATCCAGGGCTGCCCTGCACTGAGCCCCGGCGACGGGGAGGTGAGAGGGAGGATGCTGTGAGACCCAGGGCTGGGGATACCATGCCCCCCTCCCTGTACAGGCACAGCCCTTCCTTGGGGTTTCTGGGGCACCAAAAACGCCCTGAACAAACCCACGGCAGCATTTTGCTCTCCCCGAGGCTGCTCATGCCTGGAAAAACACTGCCCATGTCACCCATCTGACATGATAATATCATGATTCACTGATGTCCAGGCTTCCTGCAGCCCTTCAGACACCAAGTTAGAAAGAATTTAACTCCGAAGCTGCTTGACAAGAGTGGGAATAATGTAGATGAGGGGTTTGAAAACACAGTAGAGATGTTACACACCAAAAAACAGGAAAGGAGCTCTGTGCTGCCAACATGGCAGTGCCAAAACACCACTCATCTGGTGAAGCAACAGTGGCTGAGGCTCCACAGCCCTTTAAGCCCACGGAGCAACATGAGGGGAAGGCAAGGACCAGGGCAGTACATGCTGGAGGAGCTGGAGTCAGGGTCACAGATCCGTTCAGGAAGGGACTTCCTTACAAATGCAGATATAGAGAGCACAAACAACTCCTGGGTGTTTAGAAAATTCATTTGAAATGGTCATTTTCAGGCTTGATTTCACCTCCTGTGCTGAGTGAGACACTGGAGGTGTGTGAAGGGGATTCTGGGGCTCAGTGCCCCCAGAACAGAGATGTTGACCCCCTGCCATGGTCACAGCTCTGTGGACAGCCCCCCCTCCCCAGAAACACAAGGACAGGTGGCACATTCAGTCCTGGGGGGCCAAGGGCTCGTGGCACAGCCTGGGACTCCCCCTCTGCCCACTGTTACCTTCCCCCTTTGCCAACATCCCGGATCCGCTGCTCCCGCGGGCAAAACCTGGACCAGCCAAGGTTTAGGGGGTCCTGGTGGGTGACCTCTGGATCCAGCCAGGTGCCATGGGGAAGGAGACACTCTGCCCTGCAACAAAAACACCCTTGTGTGAGGTATGGGAGTGGTTTCTCCCCAAATTCTTTATCTCAGGGAGCGGAGCCGGGTGCTGCTGCCCTACCCTCCCGCAGGGGAAAGCGGTGCCCCGACTCCAGCACTGCCTCCAGGGGAGATGCCAGAGGGTCCTGGGAGGTCTCAGTCACTTCCATACAGATCTCTGCTGTGGTGATGATGAAATCAAGTTTGTTGCCCAAGTAGGAGATGCCGGAGAGCTTCAGCTCGGTGATGTCGTGGGGAAAGGCAGGATCGAAGCGGAGGCTGGACCTCGTGATCCTGGAAAGGCAGGAGCACATCAGGGTGCCAATGGCAGGAGCCACAGGTGAACAACCTCTGGGGTGTGGCCACCTCTCCAGGCATCGCCACCTCGTGCACCCCGGAGGAGTGTGAAAGTATCCTCAGTGCATCCAAGGATCTCTGGGCAAATCCCGAACACGCCAATGGAGCATCTGCTGAGGAGCTGCTGGGGCCATAATTTCACAGCCCAGCACCCAAAGACATTCCTGTCCCCCTCCAGTCCCACTGTTTGGGCCTGGGGTTTCCTTAAGGTTGGATTTTATACTTTTTTTAATTAAAAAAAAAAAGGAGAAAAATATATTATTCTTTTCTTCTGGGGCAGCTCAGTTCCAGACACCCACCTCGGCTCCCACTCCTGCGGTTTGGGAGGGCTGGAAGCACAGCTGTTCGTGCTCCTTCTCCAGAGATAGTGGAGCAAACAGCCTGACACTTCCTCCAGCCCTGATTCAAAGCCAAACAGCCTGTGTGGGTGTTGGCTCTGGGTGAGGAAAAACAACGCTCACTGTTGTCTCCGACCCAAATCTTGGCACACGAGAGCTCTTGACCATCAACTCCAGCATGTTGAGAGGCACTGGAGAGGGCTTGAGGGAGGCTCGAGAGCCTGGAGAGCCCCAGTGCCAGGCAGGATCTGTGCCCTACATTGGAAAGGCAGGA